ACTACCCCGAGAGGTTCATATTCGATTTGCGAGGAAGATAAACACGAGACCTGCTCTATAGTAAGACCAGAGATGAACCACTTGTATACAAAGATCATGAAGTGGTTACACTGAAACAAATACCTAGGAGAGTCAGAGAGCAGAGAAGGGACTACCAATTTTTATCAACTCAGCTTATTAGAAATGGCATTCCATTTAGGTGGCTCACCCCACAGGGGCTTTTAGTTTTGTGGCAGGACAAAAAATATAAAATTGACACAATTGAAAAAGCACAGGAATTTCGTGAACGACACCTAGGACCCGAGGAAGAACAAGAAAGTAAAGATGACCTAAATACAAGAAGCCAAGAGGAACAACTCTCTGGAGAAAAAGAATCTGATTCACACTCTGAACCCCAAAATCTTAGAGAAGAAAGGGAAGGCAACAGACTAAGAAAAAGAGAGCCTAGAACAAGAAATGGAACGAGAAATGCCTCACACAGTCAGTGACACTGATAGAGAAATCACTTTATTTTCAGTCAATATCGATGGTTAAAATCTATCATCAAAAAGAAAACAGATATTTGAGAAACTTAAAAAACAAAATGCTGACATAACTTGTATCCAAGAAGTGCATATTCCAGATAATCAATCAGACCTCTTAAAGAATATAAATTTGGGTAAAATGTACTTGGCACTTGCAAAAAAAAAAAGGGGGGGTATTGTAGTATATGTAAAGGATTGGTTGCAACATAAACAAATATACAAAGATCAAGAAGGGAGAATGCTCTTTATAGAAATAAATGTAAATCAGAAAAAGATGTTATTAGTTACAATATATGCCCCGAATACAAACCAAAAAGACTTTTATAATAGGCTTCACCATAAGATAATAGAATTTGAGTATGCTAATGTATGCATTGTAGGAGACTATAATGCAGTCCCAGACAAAGATAAAGATTATAGAACTTCCAAAAAAAAAAAAAAAGGAAAGGAGAATACTCCGTTTGTCTTTTAATAATATGGTAAGAGAACTTAACTTGAAAGATGTGTGGAGAGAATTAAATCCAAATAAAAAACAATATACCTTTTTTTTGAACGCCCATCACTCTTGGTCCAGAATAGATCAGATATGGATGGACCATATGGAGAATATTGAAAGGATCGAGATTTTGCCAAATCTATGGGCTGACCATAATCCCATTCAAATTAAATGGAAAGGAAAGAGAAAAATTGGAAGATGGACATTTAACAATACCATATTAAGAGATAAAGAATATATTGAAATGATAAAATGAAATGATAAAGAAAGAATTTTTTGAAATAAACAAAAGAGAACATATCTCTTTACAGAATCTTTGGGATACAGCCAAAGCCTATGTGAGAGGTCTAACTATTGCTTATAGTATTAAAAAGAATAAAGAAAAAAGACAGCAACAAAGCATATGGAGGGAGAAACTGAAAGATTTGGAAACAAGTAGACAAAAGGACCCAAACAATTCAAACATTAAGAAAGAAATTGATCTGGTAAAACATAAAATAAATTTAAATGTACAGGAAGATTTGGCCCAAAAAATTAAATTAGCAAAACAAAATTATTTTGAAAATGCAAATAAGCCGGGGAGGTGGTTAGCCCATAAAATTAAAAAAGAAAAGAAAAGAGAACGATCGTAGCTCTCCAAGATCAGGAAGGGAAACTATGCACGCAGACCCAAGAAAAGAAAGAAATTGCTGAGTTTTTTTATGAAATTGTATAAACAGGAAGAAATACCAGAAGTATCTATTGATCAATATTTGAATGAAAAGAACTTGCCCGAAATTACTGGTGAAGAGAAACAAAATTTGAATAATAAAATATCTATAGAAGAAATTAGGAAGGCAATTGGAACACAGAAAGCAAATAAGACCCCTGGCCCACATGGAATTCCTTTGGAATTCTATAAGGAATTCCAAGAAACAATAGAGGAGATACTGGTGGACTTGTACAATGAAGCCCTGGAGAACGCTAACATGCCTAAATCATGGTTGGAAGCTTATATTTCCTTCATTTATAAAGAACAATCAGACCCACAAAAAATTCAAAACTATAGACCAATATCACTTTTAAATGTAGATTACAAAATAATGGCTACAACACTGGCGGAAAGATTAAAGAGAGTATTAAGTAGAATTATCCACACTGATCAGAATGGCTTCCTCCCCCATAGGCAAATAAAAACAAATACCAGAACCATTATGGATATATTAGAATATTATGAAGAACACTCAACCAAGACAATGGCATTGATATTTTTAGACGCCCAGAAGGCTTTTGACAACCTGAATTGGAACTTCCTTATTAAACAACTGATAGGCATGAAATTTGATGAAAATTTTATAGGATTTATTAAGACAATTTATAACATGCAAACCGCAAAAATATTAATAAATGGGGAAAATACAGATATCATAAAGATAAATAAGGGAGTAAGACAAGGCTGCCCCCTAGCTCCTCTACTGTATCTATTGGCAGAAGAGACTCTCTTAGCACAAATTAGGCAAAATCAAGAGATTAGAGGACTAAAAATTAAAAAAGAGGAATATAAACTCCAGGCATTCACCGATTTATATTAGAAGAGCCCTTAGAAACAAGCCTTATACTACTAAGAGAAATAGAAGAATATGGAAAGGTGGCAGGGTTAAAAATTAACAAAGAAAAAACAAAAGTGTTAACAAAAAACTGTACAAAGGAGCAGAAGGAAGAACTAGCAAATAAATTAGGTATGCAGGTGGTAAATAAAGTAAAATACCTAGGGATCTGGTTGACTTTTAGATGTTCGTCGATTAAAAAAGATAACTATGATAAGCTAATAATGCAAATAGTTAAAGATTTAGATAATTGGGCCAAACTGCAGTTATCGTTATTGGGACGTATTTCGAAAGTAAAAATGAATATTTTGCCAAAACTGTTGTTCCTGTTTCAGACAGTGCCAGTCAAGTTGGAAAAGAACTTTTCTGTAGAATTAAACAAACGTATATCTAAATTTATATGGCAGAGGAAAAAACCCAGAGTGAAACATAAACTATTACAGGATGCCAAGAAAAAAGGAGAATTTGGCCTTCCAGATTTTGAATTATATTATGATGCTGCTATAGTAAACTGACTTAAGGATTGGGTTAAATTAGAAAATAGAAGGTTATTAGTATTAGAAGGTTTTGATCTCCAACTTGGCTGGCACGCCTTCATGTGGGATGGAAAATCTAAACAACATTCATATTTCCAAAGAAATGTGTTGTTCAATATCAGGGGAAAGATTAAAAAAAACCACTACCCAAAGGTTCCATTGTGGCTATCTACATTGGAAGCAGTCACATATCCAAATCTATTGGATTATGAAAATATTGTTAGGTATAAAGATTTACTATATGATACTGGAGAGCTTAAAAATAGGAACCAAATACAAATTCAAGGAAAGGAGATAGCATGGTGGCCCTTTGCACAAATACAAACCCATTATAAAAAAGATAGAGAACAATTTGGCTTTAATATGATCCCACAAGAATTAGATAAAGTATGGCTAGGAGAGGAAAAGAAAACAATTAGTAAAACATATAAATATCTTTTGGATTACAAGCTAAAAGAAGAAACAGTCACAGAATCTATGATAATTTGGGCTAAAAACGTAGGTCATAGTATTGAATTAGATAAGTGGGAACACATCTGGCAAACAAATTACAAATTAACCATGTCAGTCTCGTATAAAGAAAACCTATATAAAATGGTTCATCGCTGGCACTTACCTCCTGCGAGACTGGCTAAGATGTTCCCCAACCTACCACCCAACTGTTGGAAATGTAACTACGCACAAGGAACATATTTTCACATGTGGTGGACTTGCCCATGTGCTCAGAAGTTTTGGAGAAATATTAGAAATTGGATTTTAAATATAACAAAACAAAATTTAAAACTTGAACCCGAAACCTTTCTGCTAAGTATGATAGATTTAAACATGGAGAAAAAATATCAATATTTAATTTTGCACATCATAACTGCGGCCAGAATAATCTATGCACAAAACTGGAAATTGTCTTTCATTCCTCCAGAGGATATGGTAATTTAAAAAATACATGAATGTGCTGAGATGGATAACCTAACCAAATTGTTAAAAAATAAACAAGATAGTGACTATTATGAAATATGGAACATTTGGTATGATTGGTTAAAGAAAAGGTAATATTTGATATTTGGATAAATTATGAAAATGACAGAAGATGTGCATTTAATTATAAACTATATAGAGAAATTAAAACATTAAAAGAACGAAGGAGTTATTGTAACAAGGCAGATCACGTCAATGATAAAGATATATGTGTATGTATATGTATATATGTGTATGTGTATGTGTATATGTATATGTGTATATGTGTATGTGTGTGTGTGTGTGTGTGTATATTTGTCTGTTTTAAATGTATGTCAAATAAATGTTTAATAAACACATTTTTTAAAAAAAGTAAATAAATCTTCCTAAACAAATATAAATGACCCATACTGGGCCATTTTTCAGTAGGTGAGTTCTCCAAATCACAGGAAAGGGGGAAGAAAGGAAAAAAGTAGGTAGAGGAGTTGATACCCTGTGGGTGTATCTGGACTGCACATGTAGGCATGGTTAGAATTTTCAAACTTTTGTTTTTTTGTGGGAAATGTTGCATGTGTTCTTAAAATATGTTTATTTTAGAGTTGATACTGCAATTTAATAAATATGTGTTTCATAACAAAAATATGCTATCAATGTTTAGCAACCACGATCAAGAAATATAGCTGGCTTATTGCCAGTTACCCTCTAATTTGTGCAGAATGTGCTTTACAAATCTCTTTCATCAAACAGTTCAATGAAAAGGAAAATCCCCATCCAAGAAAAAACTAACCCAAGAAAAATGTAAGTATTCAGGCCTATATTTATTCCTATGTTAGTCTACAAACTAATAATGGTTAGTGTGCAGGTAATACCCAGAAACTGCCCTTTGAAGAGATGTGTTCTTTACCTGGTATTAAAGAGTGCTGCCTTCACTGCAATTGAGATGGCGTCGAACAAGTTACCACCACACTCCAATAACTGAAATTTTGAAAAAGTAGATTTTAATTATTATTGTTATAATTTTAATAATAATTTTCTATTCTAAAAGCCATGATTTCATCATCTCATAATAATTCTGATGTAAATGTATAAGTTACACAAAAGTGGTAAAGCATGACTAATTTCAGAAACCTCCACAAAATTTGATATTTTTATTTAATATATTAAAAGATGTAGTTTTTAAAAAGTTGATCTGGATGAAAAGGGATGATGGTGATAATGAGAACAAAAATATTTTGAATGCTTTAATTGCTTTAAACAATTTTTTTTGTAATATGCAAACAACCATGAAAGGTAGGAAAATATTTCCCTGCCTTATAAGTAGAAATGCTGAGAGATGAGTTTGAAAAAGGCTGGCTTCAGATTTCCTGGCTTCAATCTTAAATGCTAATTATTTTATGCATTCCTTCCCTGGATTGATTTTTTTAAACAACAATAACAACAACAATAATAATGACTGGACAACTGTTCCACACTCACCATCAAACTGAGAAAAATAGTGAAAACTGAAGTAATCAAGATGCCCTACAACAGGGGTGTCAAACCCAATTTCATTGAGGGCCGCATCAGGGTTGTGTTTGACCTTAGTGTGCTTGCTGGGTGTGGCCAGAGTGGGCATGGCCAGCTCGACATCACTCATCGAGGCTCTGTTTCTGGTCACAAGGGCCTCCTGCAGTCTCCTGTCAGTAAAAACAGAGCTCCGTTTGAAACGTGGCCCTCTTGAGAGGCACTGTGGGTCGGTCCTTTGCTGTTTCCAGGGCAGGCCCTTGGGCCAGATGTAAGAACCCTGTAGGGCAGATCCAGACTGCAGGCCTTGAGTTTGACACCCCTGCCCTATAGAATAACATCAAGAGTCTCAAAAAAGATGATCACTGCAAATATGTATGTATGTATGTATACCTGACAATATTAAGCACACTGAAATCTGAATGTGAATATATTCACACTGAAAGATTAAATGTGAATACATCAAAAGAGTGAAGAAGATCTTAAAGTTCAAACAGTGGAGGAAATACCATCAAGGTAATCAACACCTGGGCAATTCCAGTCATTAGATACACAGCAGGAATTGTGGATTGGACTCAAGCAGAACTAAAAGCGCTGGATAGGAAGACCAAAAAAATTATGACTATGACTCACACCCTTCATCCTCGCAGAGACATAGACAAACTCCACCTACGAAAGAAAGTAGATGGGTGTGGAATGTTGCAGGTACATCAGATGGTTGAAGAAGAAAAAAGAGCATTCTAAGAATTTCTGAAGACCAGTGAAGAAACTAATATACCAGGAAGGCTTAACGACTATTGGGATGGGAAGACAAAAAAATTACATGACCCATACATTAAAAAATAGCAGGCAAAGCAAATAACAAGAAGACTTTGCAATGGCTAAGAACAGGAAAGTTGAAGAAAGAGACAGAAGGGTTAATTCTGACTGCACAAGACCAAGCCTTAAGAATCAGTGCATGTAAAGCCAGAATTGAGAAGACAGCAACCGACAGCAAATGCCACCTATGCCAAGGAGCTGATGAAACAATGAACCACCTGGTGCAAGAAGATTGCATAGACTGACTACAAGCAATGGCATGACAAAGTAGCAACAATGCTGCATTGGAAGAAGTGCAAGAAATATCATTTGCCTGCAAGCAATAATTAGTGCGTGATAAAATAGAGAAAGTAATAGAAAATGAAAAAGTTAATTGCTCTGGGACTTTAAAATTCAAACAGACAAGCAGCTGTCACATCTCCCAGATGTAACAATTGTTGATAAGAAAGACAAAAAAAATCTGGCTAGTGAACATGGCAAGCCTAGAGACAGCAAAATAGAAGATAAAGAACTGGAGAAGATAACAAAATACAAATACCTGTAAATAGAAATAAAATGACAAGCAAACAAAGACCAACAATAATAGATGCCTTGGATGCAACCCAACACAACTGGAGCATCACTTGAACACCATCAGCATTGACAAATTTGTCATCAATCAATTGCTAAAATGGCTTTATTCAGAACAGCTTTCATCCTGAGACAATATCTTTAACACCATCAAACATCCACATCTGCCTGTTCTAAGTTCTTGGAAAGAACTTGATAGGTAGCCAAAAATGCTAAATCCAATCTAAACATCTGGTTGACGAATCATGTGATGAATCATCCTCATTATCACCCTCATTATTATAAACATAACAGGAGCTATTGGATATACAAACTATTTTCAGAGTTCCATTTAGAAACCAGAAATACCAAATTTCTCCATGCAGTGGCAGAATAACATAACAGAATAACAGATTTGGATGGGATCTTGGAAGTCCCCTGTTCAGGTAGGAAATGTCATTTCAGACAAGTGGTTGTCCAATCTCTTCTTAAAAACTTTCAGTGTTCGAGTATTCACAACTTCTGGAAGAATGGTAGAATAAAAAGAGGCCCTAGGCAGCTGAGGAATATAAAAGAGATGTAACAGGTGGATACCTCAAAACTGTTGGATGACTTTGGGTCAAGTCATTCTCTTTGAGCCCAGCTCACCTCACAGGGTTGTTGTTGTGGAGAAAACAGAAGGAGGAAGGAGTATTGTTCTGATTTGTGTTACTTATATAAAAGTAATAAGTGGAGGATAAAAAAATCTAATAAATAAAATAAAGGCATGAGTTTGGTAATATTTAGACTTCCAAAAAAACCAAGCTCTTGAGCTTAAATTTAATTCACATAAAACTTACTTACCAAGACATCAACATAAAGTATCCAGCAATACTGTCTGGGATTAATACAAAGGGTTTTCAAGTTGATACTGCTCTCATTATTAAATATCCTATAAAGGGTATTTGCGATCTCAGTGCCAAGTTCTTCACCACCACGTCCCTCAAATTCTGGAGTGGCATTTGCTGAACTGAAAGGAAAAAAAATATTACAATTCAGAAAATTTAAACCACAGTTCAGAATATTAAGTATTCATTAAATATAAAACCAAGAGTATAAACCACAATCAAGGATATGGACTATAAGAGTTCTCTAACTACCTCCAAGTAATTCAGTTGGATATCTTATTTTCTATTCTTTAATGATTTCTCTTTGTTACTAAATTCAGTCCATTATGTTGATGGAAATTATTCTTATGAACTAGAACTACTGATTCATTTCATTACTAAGTTCAGAATAAAGAATAATGTTTGAAAACCAGCAAATGTATAACCTGTTAACCAAGATTGATTAAGAACAAAAATGCAGTGGGTGGGAACAGATAAAGCAGGGATGTCAAACTTGATTTCATTGAGGGCTGCATAAGCATTGTAGTTGTCCTCTGGGGAGATGGGGGGGGGGGAAGCATGTGGCAGGGGTGGTTGCAGCTGACTAGGCATGGCCTGGGGATGTGGCCAGCTTGACATTGCTTGCATGAGTGGGACTTGTTGCGGCCAGGCGGGATTCTGCATGGAATCCAGGCACCTCTGGTGGATGGAGCAGGGGGTAGGAGGCTCATCCCACGGGATGAGATGAGGCGAGGAAGGGGGCAGGACAGCTACAACTGATGTGCCTTCAGAAGCTTTCGGTGCTGCTCAGTTTCCCACCCCACCCCCATCAGGCTGGTCTGGTCTGGTGGTGGAGGATTGCCTTCCGCCTTCTCTACTGCACCATGAACAGGGATTGACCCCCCCCAAGCTGCGTTACTGTCAAAGTAAATTCCAGGTGCTGCACTGCAATGGACAGACGAAAAGCACAGCTTTTGTCTGAAGGGGAGGAGGAGCAGGGAGAAGAAAGAGGGAAAGTGTCTGAGTGAGAAGTGTCCCACTGGCCAGGCAATGTATATTAATGATCCATAAAACATAATTGAAAAGAATTATGAGAAGGACTGTAAGGATATTAATATCAATTTCTAGGATGAACGTGAATTGACTAATTATTTCTTCAGCTTTTTTATTTTTTTCATTGAAATATAAAATATTTTAGAGGTAAGGGGGAAGTACCATGCAGAATCTGATTGAAAAGGGATTTATGTTATAATATAGTTATTAGGAGATGAATGTTATAATTGTTTAAGGGGACAATTTAAAAGTAGAATGTTTAATGGGATTTGAAAGGGAATTAATTATAAGATATGTAGGTGACATATTGTAAATAGTAATTACATGGGGAAACCTTGTTTTGTAATATTTGAAATATGGAGGAATCCTTTGGGAAATGATGATATAAGAATATGAAGTGAAATTGTAAACAGGACAGACAAAAGTATAAGTATAATGACTGTGAAGATATGGAAACTTTAAAAAGGAAATGAAATAGATCCGGAAATGAATGAGGAAACTATAAAATAAACCTGAGGGAGGTATGGGAGTAAAAACAAATAGAGAATATATAATTCAGTGATAAGATAAGAAATTGAATATGAAAGATGAATATGTAACTGAAATTATATCTGTATGGAGATGTGAAAACCTAGAACCATGCTGTTCACTAAAGAAAGATGTTTTATTTTTATTTTTGTTTTGTGAAAACCCAAATAAAATTGTTTTAAAAAAAATGATAGCATTTGATAATCCCCATCGGCTGAGCTGGAGCAGCATCCGCAAGTTTAGTTAAGAGGCGTCTGGCCGAAAACTTCCGGTTTGCAGGGCTTCGGCGGCAGGCAGGAATCTGTGATCATGCGCGGTTTCTGCCTGGGCTCGCCGCTGGAGCGCCCCGAGCCAGTTGGCTTCGGGGCTAAGCCACCCCGTAGAGGTGGTGAAGAGGGGGAAGATTCCAGCAGGGTCGAGGAAAGCCGCATCTTTCCTCCTCAGCTGGCTAAACTCCCTTTCCCGAAGGCGGTAAGAGCGGCGGTCAGAAATGGCCGCCTCAAAGAAGCACTCAAAAGAAAGTGCAGGAGGAAGTTAAGAAGTGAAAGTTTTGGCTGACCGGGATAAGAAGCAACAACTAAGGTATCCTGGCATTTAAATTTTATAAAAGATACATCGCTCCCAAAGAAGATTCGGAAGCAGTGAATGAAAGTGAAAAGGGAAAGGTTTTTTTTCACTCTCCTTCCTTACGTTGACAGCAAAGAGAGATGAATGAGAAATCCGAAAAATCTGCTTTGGCATCAATAGGTAATTAAAGTGGAAAATTAAATCCCAAGGGGACAATAAAGATTTCTGAATACTAATTTTTTTTTTTTGCTGTAAGTGGGAAGAGAGAGGAAAAGAATAAGAGCAGGATTTGGAAGGAGGAGGCTGCCTGGAACTCAAAAGAATCTAAAGTTAAATCTTAATAAGACTTCTAAAAGATAAATTTTAACTGGAACTTTGTAACTAAATAGTAACCCCAGGAAGAGAAAGTGAAAAAAGAAGAAAGTGTTAAAAGAAACAGCTTATGTGTATTTGGATTGCTTGGTGACTTTGGGACTTCTGGAAATTATATTTGAATTATTAAAAACACTTGGGTGGTTGTTTAAAATTTTTTTTACAATGGCATCACTTGTGGATGAACTGAAAATGGAATTTAAAAAATATAAAGAAGAGGAACAAGAAGGGAAGGGCTCTCTTGGCTCCGTTTTTCAATTCTTAGAAATGGCGATCTGTACCTACGAGAAACTACAAGAAAAGACTGTGCAACAAGAAGATTGGGACAAAGAAAAAGCCATCTTTAATGAACAAGTAACTTTATCTGGGGAAGAAAGGGGAAAGGGGAAAAAGAGAATGGAGAATTTAAGACCTAAAAAAACAACCAAAAAAGGGAAAAATAAGGTGAAAAGTGGATATAATGTTAGAAAGCAACAGAAAAGGGGAACACAGAAGAGGGAAATGGAGGTGGAGAGACAGGGGGGCAAAAAGGGCAGAGAGAAGAAGCAAGGGAGGAAGGAAGGGAAGAGAAGCTATAAAGGTGTGGAGCAAGTTGTAAAGAAACAGGACTTATTCAGAGATAATGGGTAAAATTTTAACTGAAAAAGCAATTCTGCAAAGCTACATAAGATTGTATTGTTATATTTGTATTAGAAATAATGTTAGAAAATTGGAAACAACATATGATTAAAAAGTGGGATAAAATACTCAGTGTAATTCAGTGAAACTTTTGTGAACAAAACAAATGAAATGAAATAAATGAGAGAATTGAATTAGGAAGGAATGTTTATAAGTGTTCCCATAGAAACATGATACCTATTTGAAGATTCATAATGTGTAAAATGTTTAAGATTTAACATGAATATTAATATTAACGATAGAATTGAATTGGTATGGATTGTTGTTTTAATTATATTATATATGTATAATTTTTTCTCTTTTTAAAATATAGTGTGTAGCTTTAGAATGTACTAAGCAGAATCCGAATGGAAGTTATGTATTATATTAAGTGTTATAAATTTAGGGGAAAGATATAAAGGCGTCATACTCCAATCAGTGATTACAGGAGAAATTTTGTTTAATGAGAAAAGATAATAGACAGCTGAAACAGGACAGACAAAGAATATAAATATAATGATCTGAATTGAGATGTAATAAATAAAATAAAATTAAGAAAGTTAAAAGAGGGGAGAAGCTATATAGAAAATGTAGAATGGTAATAAGATATGGAATGGTATATAAAAATGAGCATGAACTTGAATTTGTGTCTGTACGAAGAGATGGAACCCGGGATCAAGCTGCTTTCAAAAAAGATGTTTTATGTTTTGTTTGTTTGTTTGTTTTTAAAAATCAATAAAAAAATTTGGGGAAAAAAAAAGAGGCGTCTGGCCAAAGTTCTCCTCGAAGGCTTCTCAGATGAGGGCTTGTTGTGGTGTGGGTGAATTTCTCTGTCCAGAGCTATGGACAAGGTATACCAGTCTTGTAATCGCTCTGGAATCCCTCGGACACTGCAGGCTTTTCTGACTTCTTGATCAATGGCTTCTTTGAAATAGTGCAGAAGGATTTTACCAGGCCAATGCCCCAGGTTTCCTGTGACCTGTCTAAAGTCCTAAACTAAGTCTTTTATGGGTCTATTACCTTGTTTCATCACTTTTAGCATGGCTTCATTTTCATTGGCTTGATCTGGGTCTTCAAATCTGGACCGGAATAGTGCAACAAATCCATCAGCATTATTTAATTCAGGAGCACCCTCATTGTGTAGCTGGCCTATCCAGTCAGAAGCATCTCCTTCATTCATGATTTCTGAAATTACCGATACTAGATCACACTCGGTTTTGTAATGCTCTCCATACTGATCAATGTAAGCCCAGTTCTGCTGAGGAAGTAAGCCAATTTTGCAGGTTTTCCATCAAACATCGCTCTAAATCGTGGTGGTGTTGGCCTTGCTGGGGGTGCAGGATGTCCAGCTGGTGGAATGGCCATGGCGGCTGGAGGCTGGGCAGACACTGCTGCTGCGTGGGAGCTGGTAGAAGGACAATGACCTGCTGCTGCACTGCTGCTGGCGGCTGATACGCAGAGATGGGCAGTGGGATCCTGGGCAGCAGTGCTGCGGGCTGCTGGGCTACAGCTGGTGGTGGGGAAGGGACCTGCAGCTGTGCTAAAGGAGGTGTTGCTCCCGGCTGCTGGATTGGACTCCATTGTTGTGCAGGGACTGTTGGGGCAATTTGGGCCCATGGTGGTTCTGCAAATGGTGGTGCTAAAGGTGCTGGCGTCCATTAGCACTGAATCCACCCATGACCAGAATAGAAACCCCAACTGGGGGGATGCATTCAACGGGGGATAGCATGAAAGCAGGTTGGTGAGGTGGGGCAACTGGAGGTTGCAGCATTTCAAACGCTGGTTACATCTGCTGTTTCCCACCTGTGGCTTGCTTTCGTTGCCCAGAACCAATTCCTCTGTCATCTCTGACTGAGTAAAAAGATGCCGATGCAACACTGGCTCCACTGCCAGGTCTGGATCAGGAAAAGTGAATGTGAGAGCATCTCAGCTGAGGAGGTTGGGAACGTGCGACATAACCTCCCAC